ACATTGGCCACAGCAACTTCTTTCAAGACACGTCTCCAAAGGCAAAGGAAACAAAAGCAGAAATGAACTTTTGGGACTTCATCAAGATAAAAAGCTTTTGCACAGCAAAGGAAACAGTCAACAAAACAAAGAGGCGACCCACAGAATGGGAGAAGATATTTGCAAATGACACTACAGATAAAGGGCTGGTATCCAAGATCTACGGAGAACTTCTCAAACTCAATACCCAATAAACAAATAATCAAGTCAAAAAATGGGCAGAAGACATGAACAGACACTTCTCTGAAGAAGACATACAAATGGCTAACAGACACATGAAAAAATGTTCGTCATCATTAGCCATCAGGGAAATTCAAATCAAAACCAATCGAGATACCCCCTTACACCAGTTAGACTGGCAAAAATTGACAAGGCAAGAAACAACAAATGTTGGAGAGATTGTGGAGAAAGGGGAACCCTCTTACACTGTTGGTGGGAATGCAAGTTGGTATAGCCACTTTGGAAAACAATGTGGAGGTTCCTCAAAAAATTAAAAATAGAGCTACCCTATGACCCAGGAATTGCACTAGTGGGTATTTACCCAAAGACATAGATGTAGTGAAAAGAAGGGCCATATGCTCCCCAGTGCTCAACTATGGAAAGAGCCGAGATGCCCTTCAACAGATGAATGGATAAAGAAGATGTGGTCCATATATACAATGGAATATTACTCAGCCATCAGAAAGGACGGATACCCAACTTTTGCATCAACATGGATGGGACTGGAGGAGATTATGCTAAGTGAAGTAAGTCAAGCAGAGAAAATCAATTATCATATGGTTTCACTTATTTGTGGAACATAAGGAATAGCATGGAGGACATTAGGAGAAGGAAGGGAAAAATGAAGAGGGGGAATCGGAGGGGGAGAGGAACCATGAGAAACTGTGGACTCCAAGAAACAAACTAAGGGTTTTATAGGGGAGGGGGGTGGGGGGATGGGTGAGCCCGGTAATGGGTATTAAGGAGGGCACGTATTGCATGGAGCACTGGGTATTATATGCAAACAATGAATCATGGAACACTACATCAAAAACTAATGATGTACTGTATGGTGACTAACATAACATAATAAAAAAAAGTCTTTGTGGGGCAAAGTTCAGTCTGGAGGCCACCAGTTTATAGCAGCCTCTTGACTGGAACCTAATATAGCAGTATGCAGCAAGGAGTTCAACATTTTTCATCTATTATTACCAAAAGAAGCAACACAAGAACATAAAATGTTCTTAGCTCTTGCGTTGAAAGAAAAAACTGGAAATCATTCAAATGCCTAATAATTGGAGAATGATGAATCACACTGTGGTATAACTGTATAACCATTTAAAGCACAGAGATGCTAGCAAATTCCAGGGCATGGAAATGTACATATGTGAAAACTAAGTGAGAATAGAACACTAAATGTATATGTTACAATATGTGTTCACAAAGATTGGAAAAGAATTTGGAGCAATGTAAATAATTCGATGCTCATGAGACCTTTTTTTTTTTTTCCTGAAAAGAAACTTACATGAAGAAAAAGAAAATGCAGGTCACCTCTACCAAGGCCATCAGTAAAATATCTAGTTGTCCTCTGGATTAGATCCAGCTAAGCACAAGCATGACTATTTAATAGGTTATGGCTTTGTCCTAGAAGTTTTCATTTTTGCCTGAAAGAGATAACTTAATTTCCTACTGTGGTATACATTGATATTTTGTTCCCTCAGAATTCTGTTTTTACTTTTTTCCTATTTACCCTACTTTATAAATGTGGATCCAAGGAAAGTGATTCCAGTCCCAAACTTCATGAATGACACCCCTCCTTCCATACCACTCATGAGCTGACACTGAACCAAGTCTCTGGGGTAATAACAGAACGCTGCAGGTTCTTTGGCTTCTTTGGTATATCAGGAATTGCTCAGACTTTGGGGGTACTTCAGGTACTGGGAGTTCCAGAATTGTGGGCTGGCACCAAAAGTGGATTGTCCATGGTGGTTGCCATTCGATGCCCATGCTTGGCTGGACCAGCAGTTTCTAGAATATCTGGTGACTAGAACCCCTCTCCTCCTATTGTTACTCACCAGTCTGATGAGGACTTCCTCAGCTTCTCCTCTCATGATCACTCCACACACAGTCTATAAAGCAATGGCTGTTTTTCAGGACTCTCTGGATGAGAACTGAGATTTCCTCTTGTTCGGGGTCTTGGGTGTGTGTCCTGAGGAGGCAGAGACTGCGGCTGGCTCGATTTTGTGCACATAGGCCAAATTTAGGTTGGTTGGTGGGGCCATTATATGGAGGCTCAGGGTGATATAAATGAGTTCAGAGATCAAATCTTTTTAACAACTATAAAGGTTACTTTCCGTGCTGATGTAAGGTAAAGATCTCTAGTGGGCATGGATGATGCTGCCCTAGAATCTGTTTCTACTGAGATTTCTACTTTTGGGCTGCTTCATCTTCACTGAATTTTCTAGAAGTTGCTCCACAGCACTGATTTTGTACCATAGCTCAACATACGTGAATGCTTACAAAGGGACTTAATTTCTCTGTGCCTACCTATCCAGACCTAGAAGTAGGTAAATCTCTCTCTCTCTCTTTTTTTCTTTTTTAGTTCAGACAAAATTGGTATTTTTACAAGGAACTTGGCTGGAAATTTCTGAGTATAATTGCAGATTGGCTTGACTGACAGATCAAATTTCATAGGTCTGTTTTCCTATTTCATTCCCTCTGACTTAGTTTTGGGACTCAATACATGCAGATTGTATCCTGTGGTCATTTTCAGTTGGCACAATTTCCACTCCGTCTGTGAGAATCTTTCTTTAGAGTGTATTCACTGCTCTCATTGCTGTGGTCCCAGTGGTCTGGTTCCTGAATGAGGACATTTCTTTATCTGCTCACAGCTGATATCATCTCTTGCTGGGATGGTTTTCATAGCTTTCTGAATGGTCGCCCTAAACCCACTGTAGGCACCTCCCCCACCCCGGTGCCTCCATTTCTTCTTTTGGTCAGCAGTATCTTCTTTTGGAATGCAAATCTGGTCCCTTCACCCACTGAGCTTAAAAGCTTTCTGTGACTTCCAGTAGCCTCTAGGACACACACCAAAACCTTCCCAGGTCTGGTCCCTGCATCTCCCTGGCCTCCCTTCCATTGTTCCTGGCTCTCTGTGCCTTTTAGTTCTTTGCCTGTGAATTCTCTGCTCAACACACATGTCCTCTCCTGCTGCCAGGTTCTGCCCTCTCTCCTCGTCTCTTTCCTCTTCTTTGAGACTAATCCTCATTCCTCGGCTAGGCCTATTTCCCCTACTATCTACACTTGTAACATTGCTCACTCCTTCTTAGCACTTACTACTGTTTAAAGTTTACATTTATTTGCGTGACTCTTTGATTAAGTCCTGTGTTCTACACAAGCCAATAAGCTCCATGAGGGTGGGCTCCTGTATTTTTTTTGCTGGGAGAGGGGTGGACCATTACCAGCATGTAACACATACTGTAGGTGCTTACTAAATCTTTATTGAATGACCATGATTTCTTCTTGCTTCATCCTTCTGGAATTTTGTGGCCCCACCTCATATAAGTCATACCTTCACCTATGATTATCTCACTAGCCAGCCTAACCCTATTTAAAGGTTCTACCTTTATCTGAGCTCTTCCAGCTTTTAGGAAAGCATCTGGGCTTAGTCTTCAAGAGACCTTATCTGCATCCTTCTTTTCCTTCCTCTGTGAAAATCCAGGCCCCACTCTAATGAGGAGTCCTTGCAGCTCTGACCGTCTCTGCAGGTTCTCTCCTTGGTGACCTCTCCAAATGAGCCTAAGAACCTCTCACTCATGAGCCTCTCCTACTACAACTCTAAGTTAAAAGCATGAGATAACAGGGGTGCCTGGGTGGTGCAGCTGGTTGGGCCTCCCACTCTTGGTTTCAGCTCAGGTCATGATCTCAGGGTGGTGGAATCGAGCCCTGCATCTGCGCTCAGTGAGGAGTCTGCTTAGGACTCCTCTCTCTCTCCCCCTCTTCTTCTCCCCCTGGCTTGTGCTCTCTAAAATAAAATAAATAAAATCTTTTTAAAAAGTACGTGATAACAGCAGCAATGAAAGAGTGATTTTTCAATGATGTTGCCAATAATTAAGAGTCCTGCATAAAGTTCTTTAGTGCCTCTTCAATAGGAACTAAATTCACTTGTCTCATTGCTGCAATTTACCATCTGTTCTGCTATAATGAAGGAATTACATTCATAAGAAATTTTTCATTATCAGAAGTCATGATATAAGAACAATTGCTTGAGTAGAAAAAAGGGGTTGGGGAGGGCACCTGGGTGGCTCAGATGGTTAAGCATCTGCCTTCAGCTCAGGTTGTAATCCTGGGGTTCTGGGGTGGAGCCCCATGTCTGGCTCCCAGCTCAGCAGGGGATCTGCTTCTCCCTCTGCCTCTGCCTCTCTCCCCTGCTCATGCTCTCTCTCTCTGTCTCTCTCTCTCAAATGAATAAATAAAATCTTGAAAAAAGAAAAAAGAGAAAAGGGGGTTAGGGATTGGACAGTGTAAGACTCATAATAATGTTATTTTTCCTGTAGAATTTTTTTCTAATACAACTTTTTTCTTCAGTAGCTATGAATATATTTGTAAAACCCATCACTGCAAAAAAATTTAGTGTTTGACTACATATACCATTTACTCTGGAATAATAGTCTGCTTTCCATCATTGCCTACACTATCATTAGCAAGGAACCTTTCATACCATCCTATTTCCTCGATCACCCATTGTTACAATAAACGAAACACTAAGACTCCCAAATAAATCAGCTGTTATAGACAACCCTTCTGTCATACTGAGGGGCTAGTTACAGATCTAGTATAATAATGGTAGACATAATGCTAATCAGATTCCCTAATTTATCCAACCTCATTTTAAAAAACACCCTCAAGCCTGCAATTTTCTCAGATCTACACACTTACGTCAAACAATAACACGTGTGCTTCGATGTTTTCCCCCGAATCAGGTGATGCAGGCCCAGTGTGTCAAAATAGAGACTGAATTCTACCGCCGCAGTCGCAGCGAGATAGTGGATGGGCAAGGCTACACCATGGGAGCACTTTATTGGCAGCTGAATGACATCTGGCAGGCTCCTTCCTGGGCTTCTCTAGGTAAGTGTTGCAGCATTCTTTGCGTCTGTGAGAGAAAGCAACTCCGGTGCGGAGACGCACTGAGAAAGCACGGAGCCTGAGGGGTCAGATTAATCGGGGTAGACCCCAGCGCAGTGGAGGGGTTCCTCCCGCAGCCCGTGAACTGCGGCCGCCCCGCCCACCTTCCCGGTCACTCCGGGAGCCTTCGCGGCAGCCTTGTTCGAGTTCGGGGCTGTGCAGAGTCACAAAAGCCGGCTGATGAAGGGGGTAGATTCATGCATGAAGGTCTCAGCCATGTGTCTTACAATGATTGCTTAAAATTTTGAATTTAATTAGGAGGAATTTCCAGGCAAAAGAAGCATTTTATGTAAGCTTCTTCCTCGGAAGAATTCAGCCAAGTGGAAGGCTGGCCCAGCTGAGTGTTCAAATGTCCTTTTCCCGGATTCCCCTCTAGGTCCATAAGGTCATCTTTATTTTTGCCCTATTTATCTGTTGGGGGGAAACGTGGTGGAGTCAGAAATCCACGTAGGAGGGGTTAGCAGTTGCACCAGTTCCTTTGGCAACAGGGAGATGACTGGCATGGTGCCTGCAGTTTGAATTATTCTATTTTGATATATTTTTAAGAATCAAGGAGTAATTATGAATCTTTGGTGTTCACTAATGGTGGTTTGAAAAGAAATTCAGTTAATAATGTACACAAGAATTTGGGGCCAAAAGTGAGGCAAGGCTATACAATAAAAAGCCCCTTTGCTGGGTGAGGCTCTTCAACTAGCTGTGAATGCAAATCCAAAGGAGTCCATTCCCCGCGTGCTTTGATTAGTGTGCCCAGTCACCTCTTGCGGTGAATTGGAGTCTCGATCGGGTTTCTCTGACCAAACTGTTTATCAACACCAACCAGATAAAAGAGTATTGGATGAGAATCAGGGGTAGCCTGGGGAGAGTTGCCTTTCTGGGAAGCTTAAAACTGGACAAAGAGATACTGTTCAGAGACACTTGGACCCTGACCCTGCCTTCTTGTACGTGGATGAGGTCGTGGACTCCTGAAGCAGAGTTTGGTTCGAGAATGGGGAGAGCCCAGTCTTTGTTAATCTTCCCTTAAATGACTGTATTGCAAATTATTTTAATGAGTTCTTTAGAAAGGGTGAGTAAACCCAGGAACCAGGAGTATGATGGCAGAGCAAGAATTTGTTTTCTAAAGTCTCGCAGGACAGTGCCTCCGTGGAGAGGATCACCATCTTCTTGTACCTGGTACAGAAAACAGGTGCCAGGGAGGAGTTGTGACAAGGTATGCTATGTCTGCTCCTGGTCTGGACAGCCTCACAGCGTCTGTTTAACTCTGTGTCGTTGGTTTAATGAATCTGGTGCTTATAGTGTGTGCCAATGAGGGTGGGGGAAGCATGTGTCAGCTCTTATCTGAAATGGTGATCCTTTAAAGGGCTCGTAGCCACTTGGAATCTATAGATTCTTACACATTTCCTTTTAATGGGCGCCTGGGTGGCTCAGATGGTTAAGCGTCTGCCTTCGGCTCAGGTCATGATCCCAGGGTCCTGGGATCGAGTCCTGCATCGGGCTCCCTGCTCCTT